TCACCCAGGGGAAGAGAGGTGATAAATCCATGAGAAGCAAAGCAACATTTCTCCCCCAAGTCCAGTTCTCAGACTGTTTTATAGGGACCATCCCTGTGTGTTCACTTCCTGTCTAGTAACATTTCCACCCAACACATACACACATCATTTGCTCTTTCACAAACAGCAAGAAGAAATAACATCTGAAAATGATCTTGCCCTAGAACAATGTTTTATTTAAAATCATATTCCCTATTTAGGTCCTTCCTTAATAGACATGTAGAATTATGATTTTTAATGAGTTAGACTTCAAATTTTCCTTTTTTTTTTTTTTTTTCCTTTTTGTCTTTTTTCATGACCGGCAACGGATCGCAACCCTCAGTGTCACGTCCGTACCGGACCGGGACCGGCAACGGGATCGCAACCCTCGGTGTTGTGCCCGCACCTCGCTCAGCCAGTGAGCAGCTGGTCTGTACGTGGGATCCGAACCCTCGGCGGGAGCGCCGCCGCACTCCCAAGTGGCGCACTGTAGCAGTGCGCCACTGGGCCGGCCCAGACTTCAAATTTTCTAAGTTCAAAATAGAACTTTCCAAATAAACAGGAGCTAGTTGTTTTCAGTCCCATCAAAAATAACCTAAACAGGGGCCGGCCCGGTGGCGCACTGCTATAGTGTGCCGCTTGGGAAGCGCGGTGGCGCTCCCACCGAGGGTTAGGATCCCGCATACAGACCGGTTCCCGCTCACTGGCTGAGCGAGGTGCAGGAGCGACACCAAGGGTTGCGATCCCGTTGCCGGTCCCGGTCCGGTACGGGGGCGACACTGAGGGTTGCGATCCATTGCCGGACATGGAAAAAGACAAAAAGGAAAATAAAATAAAATAAAATAAAATAACCTAAACAGGGGCTGGCAGTTTAGCTCACTTGGTTAGAGCACAGCCTTGTAACATCAAGGCAAGGGTTCAGATCCGAGTACCAGCCAGCCACAAAAAAAAAAAAAAAAAAAAAAAAAAAAAAAAAAAAAAAAAAAAAACATAAGGAATGTTATAGAAAACATGAAAAGATATTCAGCCTAATCAATAATTGGGGAAATGAAATTAAGATAATGATATACAATGTTTTAATCACTAGGTTTGAAAATTTTAGTAAGTCTGCTGAATACAAGTTGTGCTGCCAGTGGGAAGTGGCTTCTCCCACCCCCTGCTGGTGGCTGGGTACACTGCCAAGCCTTTGAAGAGGGACACATGGCACTGACTATTGAAATTGAAATGTTCACTCCCTTCAACATGGCAAATCCCATTTCTACACTTATATCTTTTAAAAGCACTCATTTGTGTATACAAATAAGTATGTATAAGGATCATCATTACTTGTAAATGGTAAAAACTGAAAACATTGTAATAGCCCGTCAATGAGGAAGTAGATAAATGAACCACGCACGCCTCCACTGGGGAATACTACGCAGCAGTCAAAAGGAACACAGAGAATCAGAACATGCTCTCCCCAGAACATGTGTGTGAAAGAGACTGTACATGCAATGGGATCCTGCTTGCACCACCCATAAATAGAAGAACACATTAAAAATTTATTTCTAGGGCCGAGCCTGTGGCGCACTCGGGAGAGTGCGGCACTGGGAGCGCAGCAGCACTCCCGCCGCGGGTTCGGATCCTATATAGGGATGACCGGTGCGCTCACAGCGCTCAGCGCGGTGCGGCCGGTCTCAAAAAAAGGACAAAAAAAAAAATTATTTCTAGAAGGATGTGTAAGTAACTGGTCTGAGGAACTGGCCCAGGGGAATGTAAAGTCACTTTCCATCTGAGACCCTCTTGCAGAGTTTGGTTTTTTTCTCCCATGTTTTCATACTACTTTTTTAGCTGTTAAAAGAAAATAAAACTAATTTTTAAATTCTTTAAAAAGTTCCCCAAGGACACATTTTAAGAAAAGAAACTGAAGAACAACACATACTGCATACCATTTAGGTAAAAAAAAAAAAACTATATTTTTTGTTTCTGTACATGTGTATGAATACACGGCAACAGCCCTGAAGTCTGCCTTCCTGCCAATGGGTACTTGAGAAGAGGCAAATTGTAAAGAGATCACTCTCAGGTATGAGAAACTATTCATGGGTAACTCATAAATTTAAAAATCTTGCCTTTGAAAAATAAAATGAAATTGTGTCGAAACAAGAAAGTGCAAATCTATTCAATTAAAATATGTGACATAAAAAATACTGGTATATTTCATTGAATCATTTCCTAACTTATGCACACTTAAGTTTATCCAAATATAACACTTTTGTACCGTAAGAATGTTTATTTTGCAAGTGATTTTTAATTCTTTAGCCACAATCCCCCCACATTTTGACATTACCACATCTTCTTTCTATAGTCTTCTATAGACATAGAATTTGTTAGAAGCTAAAAGGGAAAAATACATTCTTTCTGCTAAATAATATCCCATCATATTTGACTTAAAGATTATTAACCTTTTGAATATCAAGAATTGAAGCTGCTCGGGAGGTCACATTTATTTATAGGTTCCAAAATAGCCCTGAGGTCTGAATAGGAAAATATCTTTTATAAACCATAACAAAACTCTCACCTCAAAATAAAACACTATGAAATTTACACCATTATATCCATATTCAACATTTTTACAATATCCAGAAACCTACTGGATCTTAAGAAATGACAATAAAAATAGCTTCACATTCAGAAAACAGAGCTTATAACTTAGATGACCCAACTTGAGGCCCCGTGCCCTATGCAGAAGTCTGTTCAGTTACTGGACCATTATAAAATCACCATTGCTAAAAGCACAGATCCTTGGGCACCCAATACGTGCTAAGCAGAACAACTGTTTGAACAAAGAGAATTTAAGTGACATTAGTTTTAACAGTTCATTTGAATGGGGTACATTATTTGAATTCCCTAAGATGCCCCAAAGGCTCGCGGGTTTGCCGGCACCATTTCTGGGGCTGTAGTATCCTTTTTTGGTTTCTATCAAGTGTATCCGCAGCTGTGCAGTTCTAAACCAGCTTCTAGAACTTCTGCCCCAAAACTGGTATTAAAGTGCCTACAGTACTGTCTCCCAAAATTTCATAAAGTGTCAGGTCAACACAGGCCACTGCCTTACCGAAGATGGACAGCTTCATCCCAGCCCCCGCCCCCACCATTTCCTTTAAAAACAATAGAAGGATGTCTCATTATGACAAAACTACTTCTCTGAAAACCCAAATTGTGTTAGTAGTGATTAACTGTAGTATCTAATACTTAGGCAGACTTGGGGAAATCCCAGCGCTTCCTCAGGGTAAGATGTTGATTACATGATAACCTGGTGCCAAATGTCAAAGGATTCACTCAGTTCCCACCCTGTGGCCAGGGCTAACTGCTGGTGGAAATCTCCAAAGGGACAATCCTCTCCGGGTCCACTCCATGCAGCCAATACAAAGGCTGAGAGGTGACCCAGACCCACGTGTAGGCCCTAGATGAGCCTCCTGGGTCCCACCACTTTTCAGCAAAAAGACCTGGGTTAGACAACTCTAGCCTCGTTACCTGCCACACTGGATGGAGTGCACCCAGTGGGTCTCCAGGCTGTGCAATCCTGTTGAATACATATGACATTCCCTGGAGGTCACACTGAAGCCACAGTAGCAGTTGCCCTTGCGAGCACAAAGCCCCGTCTCCTTTCAGTTCATTTGTGTGCGTGTGCACGCCTTCTACACTGTCCACTGTCGCACCTTCTACACTGTCCACGCTGTTACAGCCTGCTGCTGGAGGCTGTCGGAGCACGGCGGGGGCTGTGCCTCTTATCAAAGTCTTATTTCAGGCTGGGTCACTGTAAGAAAATTGTGTATGCAGCACTGGCATTTAGCCGAGTCACCAGAAAATTTGTCAAAGCAATCCAGGTAGTGTTTTGTTTTTTCCCGTTCCTTTCAAAAAATAACTTCCAGAGGCATTTTTTAGCAACTTACTTCAAATGTTAATGAAGAAACGTGAATTCAAGGGCACAGACTTGAGGAGCTGACTCAAGAGTTATACAGATGCACAAAACAAGCTCTAAATGCATCAAGAGGTGTGAAATTGTGAAGACAGAAATCATTTGGGGAAGAACTGCTCCTGTTGTAAGTTCTCTGGAGCTAATGGCACCCCCACTGAGATGGTTATTCACCAGATCTGGTTGCTGTCACAAATGTGACTTTGTTGCTTTGTAAGTGTCTGTCGGGTTCAAGGTTCTGCCTTTCCTTCCCTGGGAAGGCCATGGCTCTCCAGGCAGGTGCCAGGCTGCGAGGGGCTAACGCAAGCCTGCTGGGGTGGGATCCATGGACCTGGCCTGCAGGACAGGACCCCCAAGGCTCTGGAAGACAGCACCCACCACCACGTACGGAATCCAAGCAGTCGTCCACAATGAGAGGACAAGGGGCCTGAGCGAACGCTCAGGGCGTGTGGTAAAATTTCCCAAATACTGTAAAAGAGAAAACGCTCACACTTAATCATGTTCAAGACTAATTGTGACCAACCAGGCGTTTACAACCACATGTGCTAACTGACCACTGGGAGAATAACTTTATTGCGTTAGAATAGAAAATGAACCATGTGGACTGGCCGGTTAGCTCAGTTAGAACATAGCTTTGTAACACCAAGGTCAAGGGTTCGGATTTCCATACCAGTCAGCTGCCAAAAAAATAATAATAATAATAAAAAAAAGAAAGAAAAAAATGAGCGAGCTCATGTCAGGCCTGCAACTCACCCCACAGAGCAAACTTAGGTACCAGGGCAAATTATGAAGATCCGTCTTCTGTATGCAGACAAGGGGGGTGGGCGGGAGGGCACAGTGCTCTTGCCAGCAGGCACCAGGCGCACGTGTACCCACTTCTTTGTTTGGGCTCTTTTATTTACTCTCCGGGATGCATTTCTTCATAATAACTTGGTACCCATGACTCTTCTGACAGCTTGGGGACAGCAGGCTTTGCATATGTTTTAGGCCAGGGTCTGGCCCTCCTCATGGGCTTCTGTTTCACCCACAGCCACCTCCTCTCTGCTCCAGGGAGCCGGTCCCCACTGACAGCGGGGAGGGACGCAGGCGGAGGCAGCCTGGCACGGCCCTTCTGTGTCCACAAGTCCCACTTTCCAGCGGTATCAAGAACTCCCTCTATCCCACTCCTTGGGAGGGTCCCAGCTGAGAGGACAAAGGTCCTGTGATTCTGTTCTTCACCTCCCCGAGGTGTCCAGTGCTGCCCGAGCCTGCTGGGAGGAGCCTGGCGCAGCACAGGCCATCCTGGCGGCCACTGCTGCGTTTCCCCAGAGCGCGGCCTCTGTGCACCCAGGCAATTCCAGAACTGCTCTGTCCTCCTCCTCCCTGGTGAGTCTAGCACAGGGCTGACGTGGAGCACTTTATTTGCTAAGCTGTGAAAACACTGAGCCGTTCTCCATCCAGGTACTCCTGTCACAGACCATGAGCAACCGGCTCTGGAGGTGACATTGACGGCCAGCCTGCCACCGCTCTCCAGCAGCCACGCTGTGCGCACAGAGGTGGGTTGTTTGTTGTTGCTTTTAATACAAGGGTTCACATCGGCAAGAGGCAACTGAGAGGCACGGAATTGACTTCGCATCCACTCAAACCACGAAAGTGACTTCACATCTACTCCAAAACTGTTTCAGCTGCCAGAGTCCCTGATCTCCCGTAACCAAGGAAATCTAAACGGAGGGGCGCCTCTCACCTGTGATCAGCAGCGTCAACATTGCCTTAGAAATATTTCTTCTGTCCAGCTTAGTCATAATTTACTCAAACACTAAAAAGTATTAAAATATACTTCAACTTTCCCCCTAACTATGTTTATATATAAATCCCTGAGAAGGTACCTGTCAACTTGAAATTCACTATTTACAGTTAACATCAGGAGTGCAAGCACAGACCTGAGCCCCTCCCTCTGCACAGCAGGGACTGTGCTGTCACATGCAAGGACAGCAGACCTGGTCTCCTTTCCTAAAAAGAAAGTGAGGGGGGACAGAGCACCTGTGCCAAAATTCGGAACCCCCAGCACGGAACCCGGCATGATCTGCCATTCGTTCACTCCTGAGGATTTGGAGGTCACGAGATGAGGCCTCAGCAGGGACACCTTATCTCTTCTTATGAGCCACTTGCTTTTCTGCCCTTTTTAGACCTTAGCGTGGGTGGCACCAGGGATGATCAAGGAATTTAACCAAACCTTGGGAAGAAAGCCGGCAAAGGAAGAAAAGACAAACGAGGATGGAGAGAGGGGTGAAGAGGGCAGCAGGGAATGAATGTGGTGACAAAGCTGGAGGGGACACTGTGGTGGCCACTGACACAAGAGGAAAAGGGGGGTCACTGCCCATCAGTCCCCCTCCACAAAGAACACTGAGGAGTATGGGGGGGGACCCCTCAGTGAGTAAATGCAGCTGTTTAAAGCAACAAAAATACACAAAAATGAAAAATTATCTCAAAGGATGGTGGATTGGACCGTCAGGGAGGTGCATGTTTCTGTCCACCTCAGGGACCAGGCCACCACATCTTCTCTGATGCATCCCTTGCCTAAAGAGGTAGACATGACAATGTTGCTTAAGAATGGACTCGTCACCAACCTGACGCCAGCCCCATGAACCCCCTCCAGGCAGCTCAGCTCATTCTCTCTCAGTGGGGGGCAAACAAGCCCACCTTTGCCTCTTGTCCCCTTCCCTTTCCCTCACTCCCGAATGCCACTGACAGTTCAGTCTAGCAGGGGTGGGAGGGTGCACCTGGCACAGATGTCTGTCTATCCACACGCTCCTGCAGAGCCCCCCAATTGGAGGCAAGAATAACTCTACAGACCACCCTGTGGAGAAGCATCCAGACTTCTCTCCCTGGCCTCCTGCACTTATCAAGTCTGGGCAGGGGGCCTGCTTGCCCCTCCTCCTGCCCACTGCAAGGAGAAGAAAACAAGAGCAAAAGCCTCCCTGCAGGGTAAGGAATGAGGCTTGGCAACACTCTCCCGGACTTGGAAAATTCCTCTACCAGTGAATCTGCTTCCACGTGGCAAAAAGGCGAAGTGCCAGGCAAGCTGATGGTGAGCAGAGCACTGGGGCTGCCCAGACCACCTCAGGAGACCACAGAGAAGGGTTTCCTGCAGGGGGCCCCGGATGCAGTTCTGGAGAGAGGGACTGGGGAAAGTCTGCACCCCAACCTGGAACAGCCCTTCCTTTGCATGGGTCTCACCAGGGACCACACCAAAGCCCCCAGGAAGAGAGGCTTCTCATCCGCCTGCCAGAGCTCTCCTGCACATCTGCAGTTCTCCACGTTGCCCACGCAGCCAGCGAATGGCCACTTCCACCTACCCGGGCAAGTGGCAAGCTCTCCCTCAGGGCTGCCAAAGAAATTGCTAGCCTGACCCTCACTTGCTGGCTTCGCAGGCTTTGCTAACTGCACGCGTCTCTAGAGCTGTGTTGCTGATACCAGGCATCACTGGACAAGCCCCATGCTGGTTCCCGTGTGTCCTGTGCACCTGGACAAGGCTGTAACATGCTAGGGAAAGGCCCCAACTTGTCCACTTCAGAACTGCTTGGGATCAGAAGAAATAGCCAGTCTTGTGCTGTCGCACCATTGACATCCCATGCATAAATGGTGACTGAAAATAGGTTGTGGTGAGGTAGAGGGCTGAGCGGGACAAGAAATGTACATTTCTGACCAGTAGGCAGCAAAGACCCAAGGCTCGGGGTAAGAGTGGGGGGCGCCATACCATTCCCGATGCAAGCTTCCCATGGTGGTAAAAGGCAGGAATATTTGGCAACTGACTGAGGGCCGGACACTGAGTGAGCCCAAGCAGAAGCTGCCTAACACTGGCTGCTCCAACGACAATGAGATGTTCTTACGAAGGTGAAACCTATTGTGGGCACTCAGGATGGGCATCCTGGGACACCACCAAAAGGGCAACAGGGACCTCTCACAATGCCCATGCGTTAAAGCTGCTCTTCTCAGTGAGGGCTGCAGTGTAGCCAACTGGGGTGCAGCTCCCCCAGACCAGTGTGGTGAGAACCTCCACAATAGAGACAGGGGCTGGAGTTGCTGACAAGCTGCCAGGCAGTTCTCAGTGCAGCCAGCATTGAGACGCATGAACTAGAGACCGTTTGGCACTGCCTGGCTGGGTCCATGGCTGGCAGATGAGGCTGGGACCAGCGGCAAGCTTGGTGATGCATGGATTATGTACATGTGGCTGGAAGATGCCACAATGCTGGGGGACATGGAAGAGACAACCTCCAAAAATAACGGAGGTCAGTCACAGCCCTCACCTCCTCCAAGGGGATGTGGCCAAACCCAACTCCTAGGCTACTAGGTGACCCACAGCCACCAATATCAGTAGTTGTCAAAGTGGGTCCAGAGCTCTGTGATGTTCATCTTGATGCCTTTTTGGGATGAAGGAGGAACTCACTAAAATCTGATTTCAAACACTATCATCATCACACAATCTCCCAACAGCCTGGGTGCAGCCTGGTGTCCTGTTCAATGGGATTTTTGGAGAGGCAAGTGTGAGATCCCTGAAGGCTCAATGCCCGATGGCGTCGAGTGGGAAGGAATAAGGAGAAGCCAGCGCCACCGCTGCCCACAGCATGAGACAGGCATGTAGCCAAGCTTACAATAAAGAGCTTCCAAATCAGTCTGTCATATTTGAAATCTATGGCTTCCAAGTGTTTAAATTAAATATTTAAATAAAGTGCATATGTGACAGATACTCTACAACCCAGATGGCTAGAGATTCATTAGAATTTCTCAGTGCTTGGGAGATAAAAGTGTGGACAGAAAACTCCCACTGAGAGCTGGGGACCCAGGACAAATCACATCTGTGCCCTGCCAAAGGCCCCACCTCTTGGAAATCCTATACAGTTGGCATGAGGATGAACTACGACATCAGGGACAGTCATCAAAGGGAAAATAAAAGCAACACCCACACAAGGGAATCTTTGGAATTGAGTCTGCAGGCGGGGGCTGCCCAGTCTACTTCAGGACAATTTGCCTAAAACAAGTTTGCTTAACGTTCAATTCTAATCAATGGTTCTAAAAATCGCTCCCGTCCCCCCATTCCAGTCGTCTGCACTCTGGATTCCTTAGTCTTTTTGCAACTGTTTTACATTTAAGGATATCTGGATTCAATTCATCTAAGAGCACATATGACTTATTTTTCTATTTCTGGTATGTTTATTAAATTTGCACCCATTTTATTAAACGATAATTTCATCTCATTTCTATTTTTTAATCTGCTAAAGATTTTGTATCCAATTTATCTAAAGTCCCTTGCTTAAAAAATAAGTTTAGTTCTAGCAATAAATACATGTTTACCTATGTATTGTTTCATAATTTGACAGCATATGTTTTCATTATTATTAGTGTATGGACAAGAGAATTTAAAACATAAGATACAATGAAATCCAACGCCTCTGTCTCACATGATCATTTTGCTGTAAAGTCAATGCCTCCGTCAAAAAGAAACAGATGTTTGGCATCACGTAACCGAATCCGTGACAACATCCAGTGCACACGGGCACCGCCATGAGGAGGGAAGGCAGAGACCGAAACAAACAGCAAAAATGGGAAGAATCCCACGAATTCTGCATAAACTCTTACACGTATCACGAATATTTATTGCTAGAAATAGTATTTTAAACAAAGGGTCCTCAGATAAATGCAATAAGAGCTCCATCCCTCCTCAAATGCTGCACGTTTGATAAATAATGACTAAAGATTCAAAATGATGCAAGAAACGCCCCTGGATAAATTGGTCTAAAAAACTCTCAGTTGAGGTTCTGTGAAGGGAGACGTTTAGGCCCACTGGGTGACGGTTGCTGGGGGACTGGTTTTAGGCCAATCCATCTGTGCTGTCCCCAGCTCTGCCTTAGGAGCAGCGTGGACAGACAGCGTGGAGACGTGGACGCCTCGTGGGCCGCGGGCGGGAAGCGCAGGACAGACGCGCCGGGCCCTCCCCGCGCCCGCGTCCCCACGCGGGGACACGCCGTGTGCGCGCGGGGCCCCTTCACGTCCTTTTCCGCCAGGGCGACGCCCGCCTGGCCTTGTGCGCCTCTTCCAGGCGCTTCCTCTCCGCCTCCTCCGCCCGCCTCTTTTCCTCCTTGACCTCCTTGTACCGCCACTTGGGGATCTGCAGGTGGCCGCTGTCCTTGGTGCTGCCCTTCCGGGACGCGCGCTCGGGCTGGAAGGTGGGCGCGGGCGCCTTGCTGATGCGCACCTTGGGGACGACGACGCCCGGGCGCACGCTGCTGCGCCTCAGCAGCTGCAGGGGCAGGAGGCTGGCCTTCCGCGACGAGGGCGAGGGTCGCCGGGCCCCCAGCGGGGGGGCAGGCGGGAGGCTGGCTCTCGGGGTCCCCTCCCCGGAGGCCCCCGAGGCCTGGGAGGTCCGGACGTCCTGCTCCGTGTCCTCCGCCTTGTCCCCCTCCCGGGCACGGGGGTCCTGGCTCCCCCGCGCCGCCAGGATCTCCTGCACCGCCAGGCGCCTTTTCCCCACGCACGGGGGGTTCTCGGGGCACACGGTCTGGCAGCCGATGGCCACGGCGGGGCTGTAGAGGCTCGTGGTCATCCTGACCATGTGGTCGAGGACGCCCCCGTCCTCCAGGCCCCGGCCCGGGCGGGAGGGCAGCAGGGACCGCACACACTCGGCGAGCCTCTGCAAGCAGCTTTTGGAGCCCGGGGGCTTCAGAGCAGTCTCGGGCTCCAGCGGCAGCTCCGGCTTGTACTTCTCGCCGAACTGCTCCGGGCAGGGGCGCTCGAGCAGCCTCTGCATGAGCCGCACGGCCTCCCCGCGGCCCGTGTACGCGGCCCACTCCGGGGGCGACATCCCGCGGCGCGGGTCCCTCGCCTGCATATCTGCCCCTGGAAAACGGAAAGCATAAACAAGAGTGGGTGGTCGCGACAGGAGCTCTTCCCTCCCACAGGCCGAAAAGGGAGCAAAAGCAAAACTTCCAAACCTGAGAACAGGCTCCACCCTAGACCTTCCACACTGGGACGAACGCGCCGCCTCTGACCCCACCTACTGCGTTTCCTGATGGAACAGAACGCCCCGTTTACGCCTCCATCTGATGGTTCCCGAAATAAGAACCAGCCTGAATTCAGCGCCTAAATCACGGGATTTTTTTAAAGAAATAAGATTCCATGGCTTTCCAGCAATGGAGAGATGGCAACAAAGGCGCTTTGCAAATGCTTGGATGATGTGCCTAGAATGTTCTAGAAATACCAACAGTCATTTGCAAAGCACTTGGTGCCATCTCACTTGGAGGACGGCTGTGGGGTCTATTTTGTGAGAGGTGGTGGCCCTTCCCTTCGCACGCTGGGTGGTTAGCTGGCCACGGGTCTGTCACCTTCACCAGACAGCGGGCTTCTCCAAGACAGAGGCCACATCCTATTTACTTTTGCTTCAATGCATCTAGTCCTGGCGGGCAGCAGGCTTGCTTTTCACAAAGGTTCGTTACAAAACGATTGGCAGTCACAGTGGCTGAGGAACCTGCCTGCGGCTGCAAAGCTAGTGATGCAGAGTGAGGGTCTCAGACTTGGCTCTCCGGACCTCGGCCCAGCGCACTTCCTACCTGCTGCATGTCAGGCAGGTGTGACGCCTAGTTCTTCTGTGTCAACTAGGCTAGGCTGGAGTGCCCAGTGATATAATCAAACACTAATCGAGGTGTTGCCCTGAAGGTGTTTTGTAACTGTGGTTCACATCTACCCTCAGTTGACTCTAAGTCAAGGACGTGACCCTCCATAATGTGGGTGGGCCTCGTCCAATCAGCAGAAGGCCGTAAGAGCAAATACTCAGCTTTTCTGGAGATGAAGAAATCCTGCTTCAAGACTGCTGTATCGACTCCTGCCTGCGTTTCACCTGCAGGCCCCCGCTACCAATTTTAGTCTCACCAACCCCCACAATCGTGTGAGCTAATTCCTTACAATAAATCTCTTAATATAAACATTCCATTGGTTCTGTTTCTCTGGAGAACCTTGACTGATACATCCCTTACACTAGTCACTTCCTTAATAAATCTCCCCATATCACCCAATGCCCCCCAATTATTGTAAAGTTAAACTTCAACTCAACGTGGTGAAATCTGCATATGTTTCAACGTGGTAGTATTGAAATTAATATGGAATTGTTGTTCAATTAATCTTAGTCCAGTTGCAGCCCCACATATAGTTAAAAATCATTCCGGATTTCAAGTCCCATCAGTCATGTCGCCACTGGCAAAGCAATGTAGAAAACTGGGGCAATTATCTAGTCTGCCAGCTCCCTGGGGACTGAGCCCCGCAGAAGCTTCTTCATTTACATCCCACACAGACCCAGGTGTCTGACGCGTGGGGGCTGCTCTGCGTGTGCGGAACTGGGAGGGGCGGGGGTGCAGACACTTCCCTGCCCCGCCAGCGCACAGCGGCCTGTGGCCCAGGCAGACCCGGCTCACCTGAGCTCGCCTGATGATGGCCTTAAGTCTGTGACACATTAAAGAATAGCCATATTAGAAGAGTGGTAATAATTTGGAACTGGAAATCAGGATGGAACTCATTAGCTAGAGTACAATTTATAAACTGACTAAAATGAAAAGGGGGCAGTAAAACTGTCATTGTGAAAAACAGATGACACATTAAACCTTAATTAATTGCGCGTCATTTAAAAAAGGAACAAACTGCAAGATTAAAATCTTAATGAATGCTGCTTGAAAGAGATATTTTTCAAATGCTGATGGAAACTAAAGGCACAGCTGTCCAAAGTTTTGCCTCTTCTTCTGTTGTTTTTCCACCTTTCTGAAATGATCTCGGAAAATAGAAACTCTCTAAAACACAAAGGCTGTTCAGCCCTAGAATCAGAATCATGGCATAAATTGGGGGCCACCTCCTAAGAAACTAACTTTATGGGCAATATTAATGGCCTGAGCATAGCAATTAAATTATGAAGACAAGTACTGATGATTAACATTTTATTCATATAAAATACCTTTCGGAGAATACAGAGACCTTCCAAAATGCCCCAGGAGACCCCTGGCAACCTCGCCTCCCACCCAACCTTGCTTCACCCTGTGCTCAAACATGTAGACAAGAGTCGGGCTCTTGCCAGTGGGCCCACGTGCTGCCACCTTGAGTGCTGTGAGTTGTCTATGCAAAACCCTATTTTATTCAAGGCAGCAACACACTCACTCCTAGGAAATGCACCACGATTGGTGTGACCCAGGGTTTCTCATCCTTGGCACTACTGACATTTTGGGCCAGAAAATTATTTGCCGTGGGGGCTAGCCTGTGCATTGCGGGACTTTTAACAGCATCCCTGGCCTCTACCCTCCACATGCCAGTAGCACTTCACCAGTTATGACAACCACAAATGTCTCCAGCCAAATGTCCCCTAGGGGGCAACGTCATCCCCCGTTGAGAATCACTAGTCTAATCTAATGACTGCAATCCTATTCCCCATTTTTAAGCCTCCCTCACAGCTCAGGGTGGCCAAGTCACCTAGTGCGGGTCCACAAGCCCTAAAGAGGAGTTTGCCTCCTGATAAAAGGAACCAATGTGGGTTGGTGCTGCTGCTGCTTTGTCTGAAACAGGGGTCTGGGGACTGGAGGTCTCGTGACTTATGTGGAATCAAGAGGTGACAAGTCAACAAGCTAAGGGTTGCTGAGTGGACAGAAGACAAGAACTGGGGTCTGTGATGTCTTCATAGAGTCCCAGGCCAGCTCTAGATGGTGACAGCCAACCTCAAGACTTCTAGTAAGGTGAGAAAATAGATGCCTGTTTTCTCTGAGCCATGGTCAAGTCAGGATTTCTGTCACTTGCTGCAGAAAGCATTCCAAACAGGTGATAAAGGGAAAAGATCTACTTTCTATCACTCAATTTCACAAGCCCTTTCCCCTGGGAGTCACAGCCAGGCCCAGCAGGAGGTGACAGAGCAAGAAGCCCCAAATGTGTTACTTCCTTTCCATTCCTCCACCCCCATCCCCATGTTATCCACCCTACAAAGCCCGGTTCATGTCTCCCTCCTGCCAAGAGGCCTTTCCTGGTCACTGGTCACAGGGACCACTGTGCACCAGCCTTGGTGGCCTTGTGCCACCTCTGGCCTGTTTCTTGGGCACTGGGATAGAACCACGTGCAGGAGCCTGTGCTCCAGCCCTGCAGTGATGACGAGCCACCTCTGCAGTATGGCAGGTGGACACCATGCACCCCTGCCCCAACGAGGGACCCAAGTTGGAGGATAAATTCTCTAGTTCCCTGCCCCTTGGTGGGGCATTTCTGAGATGTCTTTTGTTTGTCTCTCAGAGGGTCCAGCAGGACTGAGTCCCACCCAGCTGTCCCCAAGGGTAACTGGTTCATTAGCATGCACTTATCAGCTTCCAGCCATTCCCAATCTCACTTCCCTCACCCTCATGCCCCCAAGTCCTTGCTTCGGGATCTGCTTTTGGGGATGATATGGAACACTAGACTTTTAGTCCTTTCTCTGGCTAAAAACTTGAAACAATTCCAATGTGGCAAATTCTCCGTTTATCAGAAATTCATGCTTTCCTTACAAACAGAAGAAATCTCTATGGATACAAATCATCTGGCTTTCCAGAATTACATCATCAGGGCTCGCCTAAGACGAGAATAACCATCCTATCAACAACGGGAGTGTCTCTGCCCTCTGTTCCTCTCCTGCCTTCACGTCTGCCTTGTTCCCTGGAATTGCAAGAAGGTTCAAGGTTTTCCTTTGCTTGCTTTTACTTCCCCAAGGCTGCAGCAATTACACCACACTTCAGGTGTAAAACCGAGCTCTCTTAAGCAGGTATGGAACCTGCCAACCTCCACAAGTTCTGCCTCTATTCAGAAAAAAATCATGTCCTTGGTATGGCTTCTCTGAGCCACTTATTTAAACAGACCTGTCACTTTGGGGCATAATATTCCATTGAACTAACAAGGTTCTGCAGCCATCTCCCCCATGACTCTCATCAGCAGAGCTGATATTATTCCTTAGGAAGCAAAAAACCAAAGATCCAATAAATCAGCCTTTCAGAACCTGATTATATTTTTTTATTAAAATCCAAAGTTCTGACAATTCTAACATTATTTTGTTCCACCTGACAAGGTAGATAAGAGCTGATAGGTGCTTATATGTTAGGAACTCTAGGAAAATCCAAACCATTTAGGGGGGCACCCAATTCAATGATTCATCATTTCTAAAAGGAAGTGATTCCTTTTGAATACAATGAAATTGCAACTCAGAAATTCAATTCAGGCCGGCCCATGGCTCACTCGGGAGAGTGTGGTGCTGGTAGCGCCGAGGCCACAGGTTCGGATCCTATATAGGGATGGCCAGTGTGCTCACTGGCTGAGCGTGGTGTGGACCACACCGTGCTGAGGGTTACGATTCAGGTGCAGAAAAACACTCAGGTACAGAAGAATATTACACCTGGAAAAATTAGTACGAGAAACACATTTTTTACCATTAATATGTAATGCTGGTGCCTTCTGATTTTAAAATTATCACAGGATGACCATTCTGCAATTAGCTATCAAGTTACCTTATCAGCTGTATATAAAAGCATTCTATGTTGAAGTGTCAATCTAAAAGAAATGTTCAGGCTATTAGTATCTTTAAATCTTTTAATTTTTCTTAATATTGATATATTTAAGTGGAAGTCAGAAGCTATTTAAAAATAGCTATGCAAATTTTTTAAATATCTCAACAAACATCTTGATTGCTGTTCACCAAACCCAGAAAGACCATTCAATCACATATTGTTTCTTTTAAAATATATCCACACATCAACAGTAAAAGCAGAATAAAACCCACTTTTCTGGGAAGAAAAACTGTAAACTTACTTAGTAGTAATAGTAAAAAATGAAAATATTCTAGAAGTTAAACACTACAACCAAAGCCTAAAAGGGCAGATCAAAAGCTCTCTGTGTATGTGTCATGTTTTCATTTTAGGAAGGAACACAGAATAAGCTGGAAAGGAGGAACAGAAGAGAGGAAAGATTCTCTTCTCACTTTTTCTGTCCTTTCCCATTTAAACTAGTTATATCGGTGGTTCTCAAGAGGAGGCAATTTTCCCCCCAGGGGGACATGTGGCTGGAGACATTTTCGGTTGTCACAATTGGGGGATGTTTAAGTCATCTACAGCGGAGCCCTGGGATGCTGCTAAAAATCCTACAGTTCGCAGGACAGCCCCCCACAACAGTTACCTGGCCCCAGATGTCAATAGTGCCGAGATTAAGATTTCCCTGAGATACGTGTTTATTACCCTCAATAAGAAAGTTTAAGTATCTCATCACAAGGCTATTTTCCAAAGGGAAAAATATACCATATTTTTTCATTCATTTAACAAATAACTACTGCACATAAATCTACCAATAATGGTAGCAAAGGCAATGATCATAATCAACATTTACTGAAGGCTTCCTCCACGCCGGGCATGTGTCCACAGGCTGTCCCTACAGGAGCTCACCCAAACGCCACCATGCCAGCCTGCGGTAGGTGCTGCCAATGCCTCTTTTTATAAGAGGAAACTGAGGTCCAGAGAGATAAGTTACTGGCCCCAAGGACAGAGATGGTCAGTGCAGGAGCTGGATTTGAAATCAGAATCCTGATTTCTGGGTCATTTCTGTTGACCTCTGTGCTCTGCAGGAGTCAGAGTTCAGGGAGGGACACACCAGAGGCTGCAACAGACCATCCTGTGCCCATGCAGATTATTCTAGACTATGATGGGGGAGGGGCTGAAAAGAAAGAAGGGGGAAGGGAGAGTATATGAAACCTAATGTCAAATTTGTATCCAAATAACACGCCCACTGCCCTCGAGCAGACTCTTATTCCAGGAGATGAGACAGGTGATTCAGCAATCCTGTAAATGTTACTGGCAAATGCCTGAAACCTCTAAGAGACCCGGGGATGAAAGCACCAAGGAAACAGAGACCCCCGCATTTCCCAGAGGGATTAGAAGGCAATCGACCTTAAAAAAAAAACTTTTAAAGAAGTTTGTAATTCAAATTAATTCTTCAGGAAAAATGCACTGATGTGATCGACACCATACATTTTCAGCTGAAAAAGTAAATTACTAAAGATCTACACTCAATTATAACTAGATCCAGAAGCAGTAAAAGCGGATAAAGCTTCCACCAAACACAAAAGCATCACATTATCACCATTTAATTAAGGGGAAGCATCTCTCATTGATATAGGACAGGCAGGGTCCAAACGCTGTTGAAACTGATATCTCATTTTTTAAAAATGAAACTGTCACTGAATCAAAAGTACAATCAATGGAATTCATTTTAATGATGATCTCTTTTTATTTCCAAGAAGATTTCCATCTTTGAAGCCTCTATCTTCCTTCACTGAATTTATTTTTCTTATAGCATCCCCTAAGACACTCAGGTTAAAGCAGGAGAAAAAATAAAATCCAAAGCAAGTTGTGAATCCTATAACTCCAGATTAATCACAAGAAAAATAGCAGATGGGCTCAGGCTGGGTACAGTGTACACCGGCAGGTATCAAGATGGTCAAATCACGAACAGGTTAAGACTGAGAAACTGTCACAGAGTGGAGGAGACTGGGGATACACGATGCGTAAATGTGGGAGCCTGGCTGGGGTCCTGGGACAGAAAGGGACATTAACAGAACTGAGGCCTGGAAGAACTCTGATGCCATCTTGGGAATAAGAGGGTGCTATGGTTTGAATGTTGTGTCTTCCGAATTCATACATTGGAACTTCATACACTGACAGTATTAAGAGGTGGGGACTTTTGGAGGTGATTAGGCTATGAGATCTCTGCCTTCATGAATGGGATCTGTGCCCTTATAAAAGAGGCCTGAGGGAGCCTCCTTAACCTTTCCATCATGTGAGGACACAGCGAGAAGGAAAGGGCCCTCACCAGACATTGAATCTGCTGGCGCCTTGATCTTGGACTTCCCCATCTCGAGAACTGTGAGCAATAGATTTCTATAGTTTATAAATTGTCCAGGCTGAGGTACCTGGTTATAGCAGCAGGAAAAGACAGAGGGGAAGTGTCACTCTTCAGGAACTCCTGGCAGCAAGCGGGACTGGCTGAACCCAGTGCCAAGAGCAAAAATAAAGACAAATTAAAATAATGACATTGAATAATGGTGATGGCAGCACTGAACATTGCCTGAGATGTTAGCTGCTGACTTGCATCTGACACCACATGCGCTTCACACACATTTTCTCATTTAATTCTCCAAATAACGCGATGAAGTTGTGGGAAAGATGATCACGTCGCATTTTAGAGTGAAGAAAAGAATTAGGAAAGATTAATCATGGGGAATTTAGCTCGATAGTTCATTACATCTGTAGAGCCCTCAAGAGTTTATAAAGTATGAGTATGGTCACATTCCAGCCTCAGGGAGGTGGGAGAGAGAGGGGTCATTACTCCCATTTCACAGATGGGGACAGAGAAGTGCTTTCTCCAAGACGACGAGGTTGTAAGAGGCAAACAGGGTTGTTGCTCTTGCTGCTGCAAAGCTGTAGCCTGAGAACTTTCCATGCTACAGTGCACCATCGAAAAAGGAAAGTGCCGCACGACACATCACCACCCAGCTCCAGCCACCAGCACGCAGGGGGCTAGGATGGCCGGGCCGTCCCCCCCACCCCCGTGACCACCTTCAGTAGGACAGTCTTGCTGTTGAGAGCCAAGACGAGAACACACCTTTCTGAAGAATAACAAATATGGGGAGGGCTTGCAAGCAGGCCGAGTGGACAGGAGGAGGCCAGGGGGTGAGGGAAGATGTCACCCCTCCCAGAGCTCAGCAGGGAGCAAGAAGGGGGGGGGTCCTGCAAGGTAACCAGTGCTGTGACCTCCCTCCGTGACCCTGAAGGCCTTTGCTTTGGGCTTTTGTTTGTTTTTTTAAAGTCAGATAATGAATGATAACCTGAACAAAGAAACTATTGTTGCTGCAGTTGCTAGGCTCTGTATCTATGGGAGTGATTCTATTCTTTAAAGGCGCAGCTCCAGTGTTCCCGGGACCCCTGCACAGTGCACAGGACAGGTGGGACGTACCTGCTAGCATCAGGGCTCGGATGCACTCTGTTCGTCCCTGCATGGCAGCTTTCATCAGGGCCGTGAACCCGAACGCATTCCTCCTTTCAAGGTCAAGACCAGGGAAATAGTTCAGCAAGTAGTTGGTGATGGTGGCGTGCCCTGAAAAGAGAAGCACACACGTGTGTAGGTTCACGCTCCCACGGACAGCGCTCATTCCAGCAAGGCCTTCCTAGACAGAGAGAAACGCCGAGTCATCCCTGGGCCCATCTGCTGAGGGTGTGTTTTCCTCTCCAGCACCAAGGTAGCATCCTCCCGCAGCCCAGGAAACTGGGGAGGCCCTGGCCACGGCGTTGCTGTGTCCCCTTCAGCAGGCCACTCGGGAGCTGGGCTGTCCTGACACACTGGAGAGGAGCGAGGACACAGGGGCAGTACGTGGAGAGCTGACCCTGCCAGGCAGGAGCCCTCAGCTCCCACAGGAGCCTCCAGTGCAAACATGCGGAGAAGCAAATGAGCTTCAGAACCATTTCCAAGTGCTCCAGAGCTCCAGGGAGGAAAAAGTCATCGTCATAGCAATAGGGTGTTGCTAATTCACACTGACACCCGCTGTTACCACTCAGAAGCGTAGCACACTCTCTCTCTCTCTCTCTCTCTCTCACACACACACACACACACACACACACACACACACACACACACAGACACGGAGTGTTGTGACCAAGCCCCCATAAATCTAAGCAGGGAAGAATATTCATTTGAGAATATAGATTTCTCCCCTTTCTCGCCTTGCACCTCCCAAAAGGATCTGAATTTCTGCTCCTTCCCAGAGGGATTCTCAAAAAGCCCGTGGTGCTCTCAGTTGGGGATGAATAAGGAAAACATCATGTAAAAAGCACTATCTCCAGGATTCACCCACGGAGCACCCAAACGGAGCGGGAGACTGTCCTCAAACAGAACTATCTTGGGTCAGCTGTCCATGCCACCTGATGCCGACTAGCCCACACTCCTTAAGTCCTTGTGTGAATACCCTCCCGCCATGCCCCGTCCACTGGAGCAGGGTCCCAGCCTAGGCACTCATGGCACTTGCGGCCGGACAGCCATTGTGGGGCTTTCTGCACACTGCAGGATGGTTGGCTGCATTCCTGGTGTCCACTCACTAGATGCCAGTAGCAACCACCCTCCACTCCCACCCGGGTTGTAACAAAACCAAAAAACGTGTCCAAACATTGCCAAGTCACCCATGGAGGGCAAAATCACCCTGGTTCGGAAGTATCATCCCGGAGGATCAGGCTTCACTGTTTCGTGACCAACCACAGCAGGTGGAAAACAGATTCCTCTCCTGCCCTTCATCCCCTAGCACCGGCCAGACCCCTCCCCTCAGCTGCCAGCCTCAGGAATGTGGGCGGCCTGCAAAGTCCCCCTTTCTGAGCCCCAGTGGGGGGCTGGGTGCCAGTCCCCACCCTTAGACACGGATGATGACCTGGCTCCTGTAAATCTCCACCCCCTGCATGTTCTTTGGCACTCCCCACGCCAGGGCTGCAGGTAGCGGGCCTTAGGGCCATTTCGATGCACCCGCTGTCATTAGCTTAGCAGCCCTCCCTCCCTGCAGGGAAGCGTCTACACCAGTGGAAAAGCCAGGACCCCCGTGGCCCAGAATCCTCTCCCCATCCGTCTTGAGGGCAGAGGCTCCCAGTGGTTGGCGCTGCGTGTGCTCTGGCCTCAGAGAGGAGGTGAGGCAGACTCACCACCTTGCCCGCAGCCTGGGGAGGTGGGGCGGCTCCAGGCTGCGTGGGTGCCCTTGGCCTGGGCTCCCCCAGCCCCACCAGTCCTACAAACCCAGCGCTAATCCTCCCAGCATGCTGAGCGGCTTCTGTCTTCCCAGCCACACCCCGATGATACGCTGTCCCTGCGCAGACCCAGCTTCCTCCTCTGAGGGACACGCGGACACTCCAGCTGCTGCTACCGCTATTAAATCCTGTGGATTAGCTTCTCACCAACTTTCAACGCGAAAATAAACAACAAAAGTAAGAGAGTGGCTGGGCCGGCCCGGTGGCGCACTGCTACAGTGCGCCGCTTGGGAAGCGCAGCAGCGCTCCT